AATAAATTTTAACTCATATATTGCTGTGTTGCTCATTTCTACAGTTGATTGCTGATTCTGTTCGCGTGAGAACAGACCCATATAAGAACAAAAGTTATTAGCTGCTTATTTTCTGATAATTTCTAACTGAGAAGCAATGAGTTATAAAAGTAGAGAAAATAGACAGATTTTAAGCCAACAATAGTATAGTTGTACATTTGAGTGAACGAACAATTTGTTTTTGAAAATTCAAGATTTATTTATGTAGTTTGAGTCGAGTTTTTTCCGAGTATTTTACTACTGAGTTGAGAAAAATGGACTCTTGAGCTTATAAAAGTTACATCTAATATGAAAAACGCTGACTTGCTCATATCAGCTAAATACGTAGGCTGATACATACGTTATTGTTCAACATTTTTCATACATTGTTATTGACCACAAGTATGAGGAACTTCCTTCAGTGGTCAATACCTTCTTACGTTTCATTCGTCTAACGAGGAATATTCTCCTAAGCAGTTCCATATGATTGGATGCGTTTGGAGAGTTTTCTCGGAAACTCAATTAAATGCTAGGGTATGAGATATAGAGATATAGGAGGTATAGAGATATGGAAGTTTAGTTTAGTTTATTATGCCCTTACCTTTCGATGTAAGGTGAAGATCAAAAAAAGAAAGATAAGAGACATAGTACGAAAAAGTTTTAGATGCATTCAAAAGAATACATAGTTGTTCGTTTGGTGAGTTTTCAGTTTGTTCATCGTAAAGTCTTAATGTTCAAAACATATCATCAGAATACCATCTCCAAGCTGTGGCATGCCTGGTTTCGATTGTACCCATCATTGCATTCACACAATTAAGACTCCGCTATCTCGATGTTCCATCATACACTAATTCCTGATCCGATATTACTTACACCAATATTCGGCGCATGATTTCACATGGTTTGTGATTCCTTGAGGTTTAAAAGACTCTCTACATTTTGGGCAAATGTAATCATTGTACTGATTCTTAGCAAGTACTGCTGTTACTTTGACACGATCTGTTGCTGCCATTTTTCCACTTGCTGTGACCACGTCGTTTGCTCTTCTTTTTTGTGCTCGGTCTTTGCAGTCATGAATAGTAGACTTGATATTCCAGTGGACTGGCTTCACATGCACATGTTTATTAATCAATGCATGCCAATAGTTCTTGTTTAATGAATTTCTTCTCCAGTTACTAATGTGACATTTATCAATATCATCCATAATTTTATCTTCCCATTGTTTACGTGCACCAGCATTTCGTGGCCGTCTGGAGTCAGAAAAATAAGAAAACATGGTTTTCTTTACTAATCTAGGCCCATCATCATCCACATTTTTCATCCGATTTACATGGCCAAACCATCACAAACGATTCCTTCTCATGATGTTTTCTAGGCGCGATTGATCAATTAAGTCCAGTAGCTTGTCGTTGGATATTCTGTCCCCTAAATTCATGCTGATAATTGTTCGTAGACAGGCCATGTAAAATATGTTCAATCGCCGTCCGTGAGCTACAGTCAGTGACCACACTTCACTTTCGTGCAAGAGAACTGGAATGACGCAAGCACAAAAAATTCGTAACTTAGCCTCGATTGAGATCGTTTTACAGTACAAAATTGCATTTCGAAGCATATGTAATGTCGCTGATGCCTTTGCTATCCTTGTTTCTATTTCCTTCTCAGGAAACTGATCTCTCGTCACAACACGTCCAAGATATGCGAAAGATTCGACAATATCAACTTTTTGATTTCGTATAATAATACCAATATCGGGCATATCTACCTCTTCATCCTTGATGATTTTTCGTGCCGAGTCTTCTTTCAATTGTTTCAATGTTACGATGCACGTCTTTTTGACACTCATGGTCAGACCAAAATCTTGAGTCACTTTTTCAAAGGTATTTATAAATTCCTCTAGATCATTAGCGCTGTTACACATAGCCACGAGATCATCCGCATACATTAATGCCAGAATATTTAATTCTTCGAAAGCATCTTTTTCTGTGTAAAAGAAATCGCTTTTACAATAGATTAATTTTATACCCTCTACACCCGCTTCTTCAATGACTTTTCGCATGATAAAATCAAATAGAGTGTTAAAGAGAATAGGAGATGGAATTCCACCTTGCATAACACCCGTTTCTATATCGAAACTATCTGATAGTTCACTATTAATCGGTTCTTGACCTTTGAAGTTCTTATAGAGTAGTTGTAACATTCGAACGGCTTTATCAGTTAGACCATAATGTCTACAAATTTTCCATAACAATTCCCGATTCGCCGAATCATACGCTTTTCGTATATCAATGAAACACATAAACAACGGCTTATTGTGTTCAGATGATTTTTCCGTTACCATTTTGAGAGTAAATATCTGGTCAATTGTTGATCTGTTAGATCTGAATCCGGTCTGCTGCTCCATCAGTTTGTTGTCGAGTAAGACTTGAATACAATTTAGTACTACAAGTGAGAAAATTTTGCTTGCTATCACCCAGAAGTGAAATGTCTTGATAATTATCACATATCTTTTTTATCGCCTTTATTCTTGTATAACCGAATTAAAATGGCCAATGGTCAATCTTCTATCATTTCTTCATTTTTCCAGACATCAACAAATATATTATGGAGCCATGTAACTATTGGCAGACATCCAGCTTTCAAAAGATCTGCTGTTGTATCATCGTTTCCTGGTGCCTTTCTACTTTTCATTTGTTTCATGGCTTCTTTGACCTCGACAAGTGGCGGCGATTTATCTTGCCGATCTTGTTCTGTTTTTGGAATCGATGGTACGTCAATTTGTTGAATAATCGATCCATCAACAATAATATGGACGCTCAAAATTTCACGGAGATATTCTCGCCACCGAAACAATCTATCAGTAGAGTTCGTAAGAAGATCACCATTTTTGTTCTGAATTGGTATATTTTCAATGTTTTTATTTCCACCACGAAGCCTTCTAATCATCGCATATGCCGTAGCTGGATCATGCTTTTTAATGGCTTTTTCGATCTCTTCGCTAACTTCATTCCAGTATTCAGTTTGTCGAGCGTCTATCCTTGTCTTAGCCAATTTTCTTAACATTCTGTATTTGTCCCGATGTTTTTGTTTAAGACGTGTTCCATGGTTGTTTTGTCAATCTACAAAGGCTTTGACCTTTTTATTAACAATATCAAGAATTTCATCAGTTAGCTACTCTTTTTGTTTTCGATGATTATTCTGTTCTTGTTGGAAATGTTCGTATCCTACCTTTTTTACATACTCCATGGAGTTGGTGTATTTTTGCGTTGATAGCCATAGTGTCATTTGCCACCTCCTTTCGCACTTCCTCGATGTCTTTTTGAAAAGCTTCGACCAATTTTACGTCATGTAGCTTCTTAAAATTCAACCGTATTCGTTTTGGTTGTTGATGTTTCCTTCTACTGCTCAGATGAATCTTAACTTTGGCTCGTAGAAGATGATGATCCGTTCAAATCGCATCAGCAGCCGTTCTGTGCACTCTCACATCCTCGACATTCGATCGAAATTTCCTGTTGACTAATGTGTAGCCGAACATGTGCCATATCTTTTTTCCTGAATGCATCCATGATGTTTGATGCATAGGCTTGTGCTGGAAAAATGTATTCGTTACAATAAGACTATTAACGTTACAAAAGTCTATCAGGCGTTTTCCATTTTCGTTGGTATCGTCCATTGTGTGAGGTCCGATAACGTTCCTTGGTCCTTGATTGTCTTGCTTTCCAACTCTCGTATTAAAATCACCAAAGATCGGCAGCATATCCCCTTTTGGTACTTTGTCTACAGTCTCCTGGAGATTTGTGTAGAAATTGTCCGACCCATCCATATCAGCCTTTTGTCCCTTTGATGGATTAGTTGGAGCATCGATAGCGATTAAAGAAATATGAACAGGCCTACATCCCAATCGAACCATGCAAATTTGTTCGTTAACAGCCTCCCACACTGATCCTGAGTCTTTTCACACCCGCGTAGCTTCTTTGTCCAGGCATATTGCCACTCCGTGACTCGATCTCGTTTTTTTGTCACTTGCAACATCCGAGTGTATCATTGTGTAATCATCAATTTTTGTGACGCCAGAGTTATACATGGCCGTTTCATTTAATGCGACCACTTGAATTCGATGTTTTTTTAGTTGTTTAATGATTAATTCTTTCTTCGCTCGAAGAAAACACAAGCGAACATTCCATCCATCAAGGAACATTCTTTTACATGCATTCCACAAATTATGATGCTTTTCATTAGCCAGAAAAATTTAAATTCCTACATACAGGTGGCTATCGGCAGCCCAGCGATCCATCCCACCATTGCAAAACAGCGATGGGCTTCTGTGAGTATCAAAGACACTTCTGGCAGGCGTGGTATGGGAGATGTAGAGATATAGGAAATACAGCAACGTACGAGACATAGTAAACAGTGATTTGTTTTTTATGATTCATTTTTTTCGAGCAAGGGTGGGCAAGTTGAATGAATATATCTGAATGGATTGCAATTCAAAGTCAAGTACTACATAAAGATTATCTGCACTAGTTAACGAATATCTCTATATCTCCTCCGTCGACGTTTAATAGAGTTTCCAAGAAAATTCTCCGAATACATCATATGTTCAATATTGTAGGTATTTTCTAATAAGATGCTTACGAAAGTGTTGTTATCACTACAATTATTGCGGAATAGATAGCAAAACCGATCATGAAGTATAATTTTTGTTTTGTTTTATCGATATCTCAAAATTTAAACTACTTTAGTGTTATCATTATTCTTATGCTATAATATACATTTCCAGCACATATACGGATTCGAGATTGTAGCGAGGAGACGCATAACTAGTTTAAATTTTGAGATATCGATAACAGAAAAAAAATATTGTAAATCATGATTGGTTTTGCTATCTGCTACGAAATAATTGTAGGGATAAAAAGATTTTCGTCAGCATCTTATTGGAAAGTACCTACAATATTCAACTGTTTAGCGGGATATTCCTCTTGAGACTAATGAAACTTAAGATATCGATCACTGAAGGAAGTTTAAACGCGTTAATTTTGCGCACTTTTAACGCGTTTGTATGATCGAAATTGTAACATATTTTACCGTGAAATCGTTAAATTTTTAACGAATTTTCAAGTTACAAGACTTCGTTAAATTGGCAAAAATTTTTTCATGGGCTGTGCGCAGTTTTTCATTAGACAGAAATTTGAAATTCACTTTTGCTCAATTTTATGACCATTTTAGTACATATAGTGACAAAATAAGCAGAAACAAATACCACTTTAGGACACTAAATGTCACTTTTCAAAACACAGAAGTCACCCATAACAAATCTGGTCGGACAAAAATTTTCTCATACTTATCCCGTTAAAAGAAAAGAAATATAGTTTCTAGCTAGAACCTGGAGAGAGTTATTTCCATTTTTCTGATTGCAAACCATGCTCTGAGAAAAAAGTAAAAAAAGTTTAGACATGAATTCTTTCATTCAAATACAGAAAAAAGATATTTTCGTACCATATTTAAGTGCAATTTTTACAAGCACAACACACATGATATAAGCTAGCAGCATGAGTCGTGCTTAAATTATATAAAAATGTTCATTAGGTGCTGATAGAACTAAAAAGGCAGTCTTCCCAAAAAGTGAAAACACCACGACAATCTCTGAAAAAACAGGATAGTAGGTTGAAAATCTCCTCCGAGAGTGAGTTAAAATTTGGCCTTTTCCTTAAAAATTCGTACATATTCTGAGAGAGGAAGTTCGCCGCATCTTCCTACGGTAAAAACTCAACTTTGATGCTTTTTTGAAAAAGGATGGGTGTGGACGCGGCTGGGAAGTGAGTGTGGGTGTCTGTTAGATCAAAACGCGCACACCCCACTCACAGCCAGACCCAGATCCACACATACACGCCACTCAAACTCGCACCCACCCCATACCCACCTAAGCTACACCCGCATTTACACTCACACCCACATCCAACGAACATAATGACGTCAGCTGGCCACCTCTAATATAAAAACTTGACCGAAGTGCTAGCTCTCTACTTGCCGAAAAGTAGCCTCTTT